AAAACCGACAGAGATAGGAAAGAAAAACTTATCCGGGAAGGAAAATTGGATCAAACATTTAACATCTCATATTAAGTCTGGCAAAGATGACTATATGTACTGTTGTTTAAATGAATCTATTAATCGTTAAAAAGTTCTTCTTTCTTAATATTAAAAAAAAAAAAAAAAAGAAGGGGGTGTTCAAGAGTGTCCAGTTCTGCTGAGATGTCTCCACAGGTCACTGGTAACCTTAACAGTGAAGATGAATGGGACCTTGGGGTGGTGCTGAAGTGATGGTGAGAGGGGGCACCTCCTAACAGGGACAAGTATTTTTTACCTTCTTCACATTATAACCAAAACGTGTTTATTCATTCATTCTATAAATACGTCGTTTATTAAGCACCTAATGTGCTGGGCACTGTGTTCAGAGCTGCAGACAAGACAGCAGGTCCTCGAGGTCCTCACTGGCCAGGAGGAGACAGATACTCTCTCCCATTTCACAAGACCACGTGATGTAATTGTTATAATGGAGATGCGCGTCAGGGGCTTTGGAACAAGCTGGACCAACTCTACCAGGGAGGGGGAAGGGGTGGCCAAGAAAGGTCCCAGAAAGCAAGGAAGCGGGATGAGGTTTGCCCTGATGTGGCTGTCATGGGGGTTGCCCACTGCAGAGTGCAGAGTTCAGCCTGCAGTGGAAGAGGCGCACTTCCAGACCTGCCCATGTTGCTGGGGCCACGTGCCTGGCTTTGGCCAATGAGTGGTGAGCAGCAGTGTGCAGAACCCAGAGTCCTCAGCTGCCAGCTCAAGACCCTCCAGTGGGCTCTCCTCACTCTGGCATGGTGAGCAGCAATATTTGAGACTGTGGCTGTTCCTAAGAACGTGAGTAACTGCCCTCAAGATGCACACCTCTTGATAGACAAGAAATGTAGGGGAGGAAAACTATTTTCCCTCCACCTATCTTAGGTTCATTGGCTGGGGCCTTGTAAATTAGACCAACAAAGGACAGATTAACAAGAGAAAACCAAACACAAGTTTATTCACCTGTGCATCGTGCATACACATGGGATTACCCAGTAATGAGTAATTCAAAGGGGTGGCAAGAGTTTGGGCTTATATAGCATTTTAACAAAGTAAAAGCACATCTTTAGAGACGTGAGAAGACGAAGGAAAAAGACTTTGTGCTTCCACGGGTGGCAAATTGTGAGAAGGCAAATATAAAGGGAGATCAATGGCGGATAAGGGCGAGTTTTAGCAAAGTTTGTAGATAGATTCCTCTGGTGCTGTCCCTGGGCTGATAAGGATCTAGAGTTGTCACCAGTGATTAACTTCTGTCCTTCCTGGCACAGAGCAGAGGGGAATAATCTCTACAGATTTATTTCCTACATTTAGGCAAACAGGGGACGTTTTTCTTGTATCTGCTTCTTATTTGCCTTCAGCTCAAAATAATCCTTATGCCAAAGTAGCACGTTTTGGAGTCGAATATTCTGCTTACCCTGAAGCAAACTTTTGTTGTTTTACTGTTTTTTGTGGTTACCACAGCATAACCTAGCCCAGTGGTTCTCAAAATGTGGTTCCTGGACCAGTAGTATCAGCTTCATCTGGGAACTTGTTAGAAATACAAATTCTCAGGCCCCACCCCAGACTTACTGAAGCTGAAGCCCTGGGGTGGGGCTTAGCAATCTGAGTTTTAACAAGCCCTCCAGGGGATTCTAAAGCATGGTCAAGTTTGAGAACTGCTGCCCTAGGTGGTGCCAACTGATACAGCTATCTGGAAGACACAGCAGGAGGAATTACAATTCATGGAGAAGGTCGTTTAAGTAAACTCGAAAAAAAACGAGTAAGAAGATGAATTAAATGGTGAGACTCTTCATGTCATAGGAATGAATATTTAAGAAAAAATATAGTGTACCTATCTCCACAGAAGGAGCCTTCCTGTCAAAATGTTGAAAACTGGTCATGTGAGCAGTCTCCTACTATGTCACATCACAGAAAATACTGTTGCAGAGGGGATGCTCAGAATCCAATGTCATTGAAGCCACAACTAGGCTAACTAAGATAAACCCAGAAATGCACTTTCCATTTGTCTCCATGGCCTTGCTTAGAAAATGCTCCTGGATGCTTTGAATCTGAAAGGTACATAAAATCCAATTCTCTCTTCTGCAGGGTAAGTCATTAGAGCTGCAGCAAAGGCTATTTGGTAACGGGCAGTATTTAAATGAAGCAAAAAGTACAATTTCAAATGAATTGCTTTTTAAACTGTCAGATAAAAGGAATCCATTTGTGCATGTGAAATTATTCCAAGGTTCTAACTATTAACTGAGAGCAGGTGAAAGATGTCAAAGAAACGTTCTGTTAAAGAGCTGGCTAAATGTTTAAAGACAGACACCTGATGACTCCTTTGGCCTGTTTTGGATTCAGAAATGTCTATTTTTGCCAGCCCTACATGAGCTCCATGGACAGAAGTCTTAGGAAAATACTAAATCCTAGTAATAAGATGCCATTTTTTAAGCTTCGATAAATTTTTTTAATTGAAGTCTAGTTGATTTACAATGTTGTATTAGTTTCAGGTGTGCAGCAAAGTGATGCAGTTATACATATATGCATATATATACATATATACACACACATATATATGTATATATATATTGATATATATTCTTTTTCAGATTCTTTTCCCTTACAGGTTATTACAATATATTGAGTATAGTTCCCTGTGCTATACAGTAGATCCTTGTTGGTTATCTATTTTATATATAGTGGTGTGCATATGTTTATCCCAAACTCCTAATTTATCCTCTCCCCCACCCCACTTTCCCCTTTGGTAACCATAATTTTGTTTTCTATGTCTCTGGGTCTAATTCTGTCTTGTAGATAAGTTCATTTGTATTATTTTTTTAGATTCCTCATATAAGTGATATCATAAAATATTTGTCTTTCTCTGCCTGGCTTTCTTCACTTAGTATGATAATCTCCAGGTCCATCTGTGTTGCTGCAAATGGCATTATTTCATTTTTTATGGCTGAGTAATATTCCATTGTATAAATATATTACATCTTTCTTATACATTCATTTATCAATGGGCATTTAGGTTGCTTCTATGTCTTGGCTATTGTAAATGTGCTGCAATGAACATTGGGGTGCATGTATAATAAGATGCCATTTTGTTCATTAGAGATGCTTTAACCAATGTGACCCAAATGCTGTCTTACCGCGGGACAATAGTATATTATCGCTTTAACTTTTTCCTTTGGTGAAAATACAATGCCAAGGGCTCTTGGCTAGCTTTCCAAATGCCCATTTAACACTGTTCTGTGGTCTTTTATTTGTTATGGATAAATAGCAATCCTTGTACAGCCTGGTCAATAAGAAGAGAATTCTTCAAACATATGAAAAGTGCCCTTTCTGTCACTGGCAGGTATGCTTGGTAGAGGTCACCCATATAGAGGGAGATCCTCGATGGTAAGGCTGCTCTACAGACAAAACGGAATCCTGAGCTGTTCTACACAAGGGCAACCCCAGCCTTTTCCATTTCATTTCCTCTAGGGGTTTCTACTGCAATTAGTCTTGTGTTCATGCCTTCAGTATCCGTGGGACCTACTGAAACAGGACTACTGAAAATAATTAGTGAATCTTCTCTTTCCCCTGGTCCTCCAGGTACCTCTCACTGCTGTCACTATGCCAGGCTAGCACAACCAAAATTCTCCCTGCTTGGTCAGTCCAAGAGGAACTGTGAAGATGGTGCCCCACTAGAAGCACTGGGACAGATTTGAAAGGGCCGTGCTTCTGACACTTGAACGTGCACACAAGTCTCCAGGGGGTCTTGTTAAAAATGCACATTCTGACTCAGTAGGTCTGAGCTGGAAACTTAGAGCCTGAATTTCTTGCAAGCTCCCAGGCAATGCTTATGCTGCTGTGGACCACATTTTGAGTAGTGATGGAATAACACACATTCTGCAAAAACAGTGACTTTTAGAACTGACCCTATTAAACAGGCATTTATCTAAGGGTCTGGCTCCCCTTTGCTTTGGGGTTCCTTGAAAGCAGGAACTGGATCTTACACATTTTTTGGTTGTTTTGTTCTCTGGCTGGCACTTGGCATTAATCCCGCACACAGTGGGTGTGTATTTATTTAATTAAACAGAGCTGGCCTTGTTCCAAAAAGGATTTTAAGTGGACTAAACCCCTAGCAGGCCCTAACTAGGGGCTTGATGAGTTGGCCAGGGAAGGAAATCATTCCCAGGGTAGTCACAAACCCTCTGGGCTGAGGCCCTTCCGCTAAAGGTCCCCACCACCTGCTTGCACCTGGATCACAACTCAGCTGCTGCTCTTCTGAAATTCTCCCTCCTGCCCCATTTTTAAAGTGGTTTACACTAGAGAGCCGATCAGAGAAAAGGAGGAAAAGCAAAACAAAACAAAACCCAGAAAGCCCCGTGGGGCGCAGAACTCTCGGGTTTCTCTCTGCCGGGTCTCCAGCTTTGTGCAGGTCGGCGTAGCGCCCCGCCGCCGGCTCCCCAGCCCGCCCCGAGAGCCCCGGAGGAGCCGGCCCTGGGGGCGCGGGCGCTCGTCGGCTTGGGGCAAGCCTGTTTGTTAGCTCTGCTCGAGCAATTAATCTTCTCGTGCATCTCCCGCCCGGGGGGCGGGGGTCGTGGGGGCCTCGGGTCGCCTCGGGGGTCGTGCAGAGACCGGACTAGAGCGATCGCTCTACAGGAACCCTTGTTCCCAGAGTCCCTGCGGTGCCATAACCCGTTCCTCTCTGCAGCAGCCTCGGAGGGTTAGAGAAGGGCTTGTTTCGGTTCCATAGGGGCGGCGGGGAGAGAAAAAGGGAGGAGGAGGGTGATTGGGTGGGTCAGTGGTTGAGCCTCACGGGAGAAGGGAGGAGTGCCCGGGCGAGTGCGCCCTAGGGGAGCAGTACACGTGCTGGGGGGGTGAGAGGCGGGCAGGAGGGGAGAAGGGAGGCGAGAGCTGGGGCGGGGGGGGAGGCGCCACGGCCTCGCAGACGCAGGCGCCGGCAGCCGGAGAGAAAGTTCCCGGGGAGAGCTCGCCCCCGGAGGGCCGTCGTCGAGGCTGCTCGAGGGGAGGGTCGCAGGTCCCGTGCATCCCGCCTGCCTCCCCATCTGAGCGCACTGGGCCGCCGGGGCTCGGCTCGCCGGGAAGCAGGGAAACATCGCCGGCCGGCGGGCGCCGCCAAACTTGGAGGGGGACGATGCTGCGAGTGCGAGCGGCGGCGCGGGGCGCGGGGGCACACTGAGTGCTACCGGGGCTGCGGCCGGGCGAGGGCGCCGAGGCTGAGCGGGCAGGTAAGGGGCACCAGCGCCAGGACTGCGCCAGCCCTGCGAGCCAGGGCCGCCAGCGCCACCTCCTCGCCACGGAGCCACGGTGAGCGGAGCGCGCACGCCGCGCGCGGGACTCTGAGCTCCGGCCGCGCCGCGCGCCTGCACCTCCTCTCTCCCCTCTGGGCTTCCCCGCCGAGCTCGCCCGCGGGCCATGAAGCTTTGGCCCGTAGCCCCTCGCCTCTGAGCCTCGCGTCGCCCGCTCCAGTCCACGCCGCTCCGCCACAGATAGCACTCCGACCAGTGGGGCTCCCCATCCTCTGCCAGCGACTGCATCCAGGCGCTCCGGGATGGCGCTCCGCGGCCCCCCGCGGCCGCGCAAAGTTCGCAGGAGACGAGAGATGCTGTGGCAGCAAGTTGGCTTCGTGTGCGCGATTTTGGCGCTGGTGTGCTGTGCGTCTGGCCTCTTTGGCAGCTGGGGTAGGTACTGGTGCGGGCCTGCCCCGGGAGTTGGGGGGCTTGGGCTGGAAAGCCGCGGGGCAGCTCCGAGAGGTCTTCCGTTCCTTCCCAGTCAGGTTGGCCCCAAGGGTTCATCCAGTCCCTTACCCACCAGGCAGGTAGAGCGCACCCAGGAGGGCTGATATTGACTCTCTGAGCTGTGGTGCCTGTTCCCCTGAGCTGCGCGCGGCCCCTGGGGCCTCAGAACGCGGCTGCAGGTCTGTGTTACTAAGGCGAAAGCCTGAACCACTGGCCCCCTCGGTGCCAGAGTTCTGTGCCCGGGGTGCCCAGGGAGTGTGGGCAGCGCAGCGGCGGGATCCAGGTGTGGATTCTCTTGGACTGGGGCGGACGAGACTAAGTGGACCGATTTCCATTTTGCAGAGCGGAGAAGGTTGTTCTCCACGCCCCTCGAAAACCCAGATTCTGAGGCTGGGAACTGAGTCTCAGCTCTCCCCTCGCCCCTGCCAAAGGGGCGCCCTGGGTGTCCTGACGCGTCCTCTCCAAACCCTAAAAATGTGGGCAGTCTGTGCCCTCGGGAGGTTGCTGCTATGTTTCAGCATCGCTTCTCAACTCCTCTTAATCACCGCGGGACCAGCTTGTGCCTGGAACCACTATCCACACTCCTTCATCTAGGGAGAGACTGAGGGATTTGGGAGTTGCTTAGGATATACAAATTTAAGATGGAGAGAAAAAAAACCTTGTGAAAATATTTTTTAGGGAAGGGAGTGGCAGATGTGAGCCTAGGTGGAAGCTTCAGAAGACATTCAGGTGGCTAACATTCCCATTTTTAGTTGGATGCTGTGGAGCTTCTAGTATTGTTCTTTTAGTATTTTAATTTTTAATGTCCTCTAGAAACTTTATTTAAAACATTTTTTAATTGAAGTATAGTTGATTTATAATGTGTTAGTTTCAGCTGTACAGCAAAGTGATTCGGTTCTACAGAGATGTGTGTGTATATACATATGTATATATGCTTTTTTCCCAATTACTGTCTAACATTTAAAAAAAAATGAAAGAAATGGCATGATTTAGCAACCTGGACATGGGGAATAAAGCAGATGGTACCTTCTTGAGCAGTTAGGGACAATTTAGAGAGGTTCATATTGATAAAAATCAGGTGGAACTTGACTTAACTCTTTAATACTGGCTTTCAAAACCCAAACTATGTGATTTGAGGATAAAAGGTCAAAAACCGGCCCTTCCCAACAGAAATCCAGAAAGGTTATTTGAACACCTTAGTACCTGGTGCTTTGCAATTGGGCAAGCTGGTGTGTGTTCTCCCTCAATTACAAGAGATAACAAAATACCTAGAGGCTCCTAGATGTGGGCATTATAGTAGAGGTATTATTATCCAGCTGTAGTAGTGTGCACACTGGGAGAGGTAAATGAATACTTTAAAGGTCTTAAAGTGAGGATCATTTTTATTTGCTGGATCAGGAAGGCCTTTAGGAGTTGAACCGCGCTTGGTCATCGGCATCCATACCAGCGATCTCCTTTTGTTACTCAGTATGGCCCTTGGACCAACAGAATCAGTGTCACCTGGGAGCTTGTTAGTGTAGAATCTCGGGTTGTGGGCCAGACCTACTGAATCAGAATCTGCATTTTAACAAGGTTCCCAGATGATTTGTGTGCACATTCAAGGGTGAGAAGCTGCGGGCCAGACCCCATCAACTTTCTCCACCTGTTTGCTGACTTTATCCTTCAGGGCAGGAACGCCTGAGCATGTTTACTGGTTAAGAACTTCATGGTCACCTATCTAAACCCTTTGTTGCACCTGTGAAGGGCTGAGACTGGAGCAACCTTGGCCAAGGTCAGATCACATGCTGACCAATCTGGGACTAGAAACAATGAACTAGATCTAGGAAGCAGATTACTGTAGGTGAGCAGGTGATACTGTGCTTCCAGTCATTGTATCATTCCCTACAGATGGCTTGAAATAATCAAACAGGGCTGTTGCCGACATAGCTAGATACAGGTGTGTAAGGCCATTGTGGGAATGCAGGCGCCATGTTGATCTACTGGTGTTTGTGACTTATTTTCCAATCCAGGGCACAAAACAGCTTCTGCCAGCAAACATGTTTTACCAGACACATGGAGGAGTAGAAGGCTGATGGCACCAGTGAATGGGACTCAGATAGCTAAGAACTGCACAGATCCGGGTAAGAGAAAGATTCTTCCCCTAAGGCATTTGTCAGGGTCTGGAGATGGTGCGTATGTGGACAGTTATAGCCAGAGCTGAGAAAAGGTGGTTTTGTGACCCTGAGTAGGAAAGGGTGGCTATAAGGTGTTGAAAGGTAATGTACAGACGTTAATCAGTCGTGCTGCTAAGCAACTCCAGTACTTTCTTTATCCAACAACTGAAAAGATCACATTTCAGTTTTAAATTCTCATTTTTTGTTCTCACAATGCTCCTAAAGGCTCAGTGTTCCGCCCCAGCTCCCGCAATTTTGTTTGCCTGGGTGTCTTCGTTTTCTTTCCCTTTTGCTCTCTGTGTCCATCTGATGGAGCTTCAGGGACACAAACCCTGCTGCTCTGGCAGAGGGCACTTTGGGATGACTCACCAGGGTCATACCACCCAGGGTCACTGCAGGGGTGGGACACGCTGGGTTGCTGGGGCCCCTTCTCTGGAAGAGGAGTTCCAGGTAGCATTGCAGCCTGGTAGATGGGTTCTGCTCGCCCTGGGAGGTGGTTCAATGGGCCTCTTCAGACTTCTCCAGGCGGTCAGAGGCTGTAGGGACCCAGTGATGACATCTTGTCTGTTCTCCTGCCAGATGCAGGCTTTGCCTAAATGGGTGGAGATTTCTTCTCAGAACCTGTACGGGCCAGTGAATGGAAGCTGCCCGGGCCTCAGACAGGCCAGTCCTAGGTTTTAGCTCTGGCTCCCTAACTTGGGGGTCTTTGTGAGAAGGACTCAGTGGGATGATGCATTCAAAAGCTCTTTGGGAACTATGAGGCTTTATTTTCTTATTTTTTAAAATTTAAGTATAGTTAATTTACAGTGTTGTGTTTCAAGTGTATAGCAGAGTGATTCAGTTATACATATATATCTATTCTTTTTCAGATTCTTTTCCATTGTAGGTTATTACAAGATACTGAGTATAGTTCCCTGTGCTGTACAATACGTCCTTGTTGTTTACCTATTTTATGTACAGTAATGTATGTATCTGTTAATCCTGGACTCCTAATTTACCCCCACCCTGCTATCCCCTTTGGTAACCATAAATTTGTTTTCTGTGTCTGTGAGTCTATTTCTGTTTTGTAAATAAGTTCATTTGTATCATTTTTTAAGATTCCATATATAAATGATACCACATGATATTCGTCTTTGACTTACTTCACTTAATATGATAATCTCTAGGTCCATCCATGTTGCTGCAAATGGCATGATTTGATTCTTTTTTATGACTAATACTCCGTTGTGTATGTATACCACATCTTCTTTATCCATTTACCTGTTGGTAGACCTTTAGGGTGCTTCCGTGTCTTGGCTATTGTAAATAGTGCTGCTATGAACACTGGGGTGCATGTATCATTTCGATTTATGATTTTCTCCAGATCAATGCCCAGGAGTGGGATTACAGGATCATATGGTAGCTCTATTTTTAGTTTTTTAAGGAACCTCCATATTGTTCTCCATAGTGGCTGCACCAATTTACATTCCCATCAACAGTGTAGGAGGTGGGAATGTAAATTCCCTCCTAAAAGTTCCTTTTCCTGCAGACCCTATGAGGTTTTACTGTAGATGGGTACTACTTGGCTTTTCCACGAAGTTGCCAGGCAAGTCAATCTTGTTAGGTGTCTGTTTTCTCACCTGTAATATGGGCAGAATAGTACTTGGCCTCCTACTCCAGGGTTGTTGGAAGAATCTGGTAAGGCTCCGTATGGGGCTGTGTGCAAAAGGAACTAGAAACCCAGGCCAAGGGACCAGGTTAGTATGGCAGTCTTCCCATGTCTTATGTTCATAGGCAGGTCTTATCTGCATTTTACAGGTCAGAAAACATCTAGGGAGGAGACACGAGTCACTCAAAGTCGTGAACCTTACAAGCGGGGAAGCTGGCACTGGAACCTAGGCCTGTGGGTAGGAAATGTTTGGTTAGTTCCATGCGCTGAAGAAGGCAGGGCCTTCCCGCAGAGCTTGTGTTCTACACCATCGACTCCCCTTCCCTCAAGGTGCTGTCTGAGAAGTCCATCTGGGACACGGAGGTTTTGGTAAACCTCTAAACGGTTCATCCTCTGCTTGATGGGGATGGGACTGGGTGAACTTGCAGAGAAGCAGCTGGGATTCCCATTAAACTCCCATCTGTCTTGGTGACCCAGTGGACAGTGGTGCCCGTCCTGTCTTTTCACCTCCTCCAGCATATTCTTCCATCAGCCAGAAGTGGCCGGTGCATGTGCAGAGCTAAGCCATGAACGTGTGTAAGGCCAGGAACTATGGGTCCATCCTCTCTAGGCACTTGAGAGGCTAAAATTAGCACCGTCCATGAAAGGAAGACTTAGCTACTCTGGGTAAAGAATCAGGGTGAGTGCATTTTTGACTGGTTTCTAGCTCATTGATGGCCTCATCGTGGGCTGGCTCTGTGTCCTCCTCCTGTGGCTCCTGTCCCATCTAGTCTGGGCACATTGGCTTAGACGGGGCCCCATTCTTAGGATAGAGTCTTCTATGCCCCGTTGTTGCCCTTGTCTCTTCAGTATACTGTCTGATCAGAAATTATTCCACTAACTATGGAGCAGTCAGTCCTATTTGGCAGGAAGGACTGGTCTTGTCCCCCTTGTGGAGAGGGAAGCAGGGAAACCGCAAAACGTTTAACAGTAAGTAATATTTGGATTATCCTTTGTGTTGACTGTTTCTGGGATAGGGTCCTGCACATAGAAAGGACTCAGTAAATATTGGTCAAGTGATGGAATGAAAGGGCATTTTCGAATATTAAACACTTTAATTCTTGGTGTTTATGCAAAGATGAGGAACACGAGGCTCCGAAGTTTAGTGACTTCCCAAGATCTCTTGGCTGGCAGGAGCATCCCTTGGTCATCTGACTCTGGATCTCATGACCTCCCTGCTCCAGTGCACCTGCCCCCGCTGTCCTCCCAGCCCAGGTGGGACTGAAGCCTGACTCCCCTTCCAGCCTCCTTGTCCCTGGACCACGAGACTATCCAGTCTCCTTTCCATTTCACAAGTGTGTAGCGCACACCTGCTGTTGTGTGTCCAGCCCTGCAGCGGGCACTTGGTGGGGAGTAGAAGCAAGTATAAGAGGCCGCCCTTGTGATCAAGCAGCTCACAGTCGAGTAGAGAGGACAGAGTCCTGACACAGGAGGACTGCAGAGGTCCCCCAGGCAGCAGCCCCACGGGGCTCGGAGGACAGTAAGTGACTCCGATGCAGTTCTTCGGAGTCTTAGCGTCTAGATGAGGCAGGCCTCTGCTGCAGTGACAGAAAACCTCCCCAAATTGGGTTTAGCAAAAAAGGGAATTTATTGGCTTAGTCACTGAAAGCGTGAGGTCAGAGGTGAAGTGTTGAGACTCAGTTTCTGTCTCTGGGCTCAGATGTCAGCTGGTGTGGGGAGGTGGTGACCACAGCTCTGGCTTTATGTCCTCCCAGACCCAAAAATGCTGGGGGAGAGTGCTGGTGGCTGAGACAGTTTTGCAGAAGCCCTGAGGTTCTGGTGGCGTGGCTTGGGTCACATGACTTCCCTAAGCCAATTGCTTGGCCAGGGGAGTTGTTGGGTCTGGACTGGCTTGGACGTGAGTCACAGGCTCTGCCTCTGGAGGGAGGGGACGGAAGCATCCTCCTCCAGCCCCAAACTCTGCCTGGGAGTCAGCTGGGGATGGGCAGTTTCAGGAGGTGGCCCTCAATGCTTTATAACCATCCTGTTCTGGGGCTGCTGCTGTGACAACGGTGGACCAGAGCTCCCTTCCCGTTAGAGTGTCAGGGGGGTGACAGGGTGGCAGCCAATGGCTGCCGTCTTTTCTACAGTTACAGGAGTCACCCATAAAGAACCCCAAGGTTCTTACATCCCCTGAAGCTCCTGCTCTGCATCGCTCCCCTCCAGCTAGAGGGCCCCCGTACTGATCTACCAGATGAGGTCTTTCAGGGATGTAGGAAGACGAGGCTTGAAGAATTTCCTGCTGTGTCAGCTCCCAGAGCTGAAGCATCGCCCACAGTAGGTGTTCAACAAACGTTAGTTCACGTTTCCATGAGAACCTCCAGGGAGGGACCATGTCTTATTTTCTGCTCTTATTCGCCTGTCAGAGAAGCATTTAGCTTCGTTTCCTAAAAACACGAATGGGACCCTGCTCTAGTCATCCCTTAAGACTTGAGGTGGAAAGTGGGCTCTTTGCTCAGCCTGGGGTCATTTCTCCAGATCTTGGTGGTGTTTCCATCTCATTATTTGTGCTTCAGTGTAAGTGTCCCCCTGACCGCATCACGTTACCCGATGTTATTTTTATGACATGTATCTCCATCTAAAATAATTTACTTATTCATCATCTGTCTCCCCTTGAGGGCTACCTTGCTCACTGCTATATGCCCAGAAGAGTGATTCTTAATCCTGGCCACACACTTTTGAAATGCCCAGGACCCAACCCTGGAGTGTCTGATTGCCTTCGTCTGGGGCTGGGGCCTGGAAATCAGTACTTGTTCAGAGCTCCCCAGCTGCTTCCAAGTTGAAGCCAGGGTTGATGCTTGCTGGACTGGAGCCGGGCTGCTCAGCGTGGTTGGCATCACCTGGGAGCTTGTTAGGAATGCAGAGTCTCAGGCCCCAGACCTACCACAGAATCAGAATCTGCATCCTAATGAGATCCCCGGGACGGCTTCCATGCCCACCAAAGGCTGGGAGGCACTGGGCTAGAACACTGCCTGACACTTCGTAGGCTTTCAGCAAGTATTTGAATGTTGAATGAAGGTTAACACTTGGTTTAACATAGTGATTTTCTTGAAAACCAGTTTGGTTTCTTTTTTTAAATGTAGGGAAGCTAAAAAAAAAAAAAAAAGACTTTTCCATACCCTTCAGTGGTCAGAATTGGAGTTTGGTTTTTGTTGTATTTTTCTATTTTTCTCTTCCTCCAGAGGCAGTGGGTCCCTCCCTACAAAATGCATGAAACAGGAATGAGGGGCAGTGACTTTGAACCCCGTGGGAACTGTCTTAGTTCAGGCTGCCAGAACAA